GCCTGGCTAATTTTTGTATTTTTAGTAGAGACGGGGTTTCACCATGTTGGCCAGGCTGGTCTCAAACTCCTGACCTCAGGTGATCCACCTACCTCGGCCTTTCAAAGTGCTGGGATTACAGGCATGAGCCACTGTACCCGGCCTCAACTTTTAAAACAATATCTATTGTTTTGGCCTGGAATGGTGGCTCATGCCTGTAACCCCAGCACTTTGGGAGTCCAAGGTGGAGGATCTCTGGAGCTCAGGAGTTTGAGACCAGCCTAGGCAACATAGGGAGACCCTGCTTCTACAAAAATCCAAAAACTAGCTGGGCATGGTGGCTCATGCCCATGGTTCCAGCTACTTGGGAGGCTGAGACAGGAGGATCACTTGAGCCAAGGAGCTCCAGACTGCAGTGAGCTGTGATACTGCTACTGCACTCCAGCCTGGGCGACAGTCAGACCCTGTCTCAATAAATAAATAAATAAGGTCTGGGCGTGGTAGCTTACGTCTGTAATCCCAGCACTTTAAGAGACTGAGGTGGGTGGATCACTTGAGGTCAGGAATTCGAGACCAGCCTGGCTAACATGATGAAACCCCATCTCTACTAAAAATACAAAAATTAACTAGGTGTGGTGGCACACGCTTGTAGTCCCAGCTATTCAGGAGGTTGAGGCAGGAGAATCACTTGAACTTGATAGATGCGATCTCGGCTCACTGCAAGTGAGCCCAGATTGCACCACTGCACTCTAGCATGGGCAATAGAGCAAGACTCCATCTCAAAAAATAAATAAAATAAAACTTTTTTTGTTTTCAGATTCAAAATAAATAAAATCTTTTTTGTTTTCAGATTTTAAAATGAAGAAAATAAAAGCTGTAACTCCACTACTGAAAAGATAGCCACTGTTAATGTTGAAAACCTTATTTATTTGAATAGCTGATACATGCACATGGTATACAATTTTAAAAATCCTTAAGGATATACAGTAGTAAAAAGAAGACTCCCTTGACCCTAGCTGCTTAGTTTCCTTTTCAGAGGCAATCACTACTGTACTGTTTACATTTTCATATATTTGTTTCCTATGCCTTCTCTTCTCCCAAGTTTTATTAAGAAAATTTGCAAGCATATATGTGCATTACTTAGTCATTTGGAAGTAAATTACAGACTCAATTACATTTCACCCCTAAGTGCTTCAGCATTCACCTCTTAAAATCATCATTCTCCTGTACTACCACTATTCAGTGATCACAACTAAGAAAATTTCCTCACGTCATCAATTATCCAGTTTATATTTAAGCTTCCTTGACTTGCTCCCCAAAGGTCTTTTTGTTATTTTGGAACCAGAGTCCAGTCAAAGTTTGTGCACTGTTTGCCTATGTCTCAGAAATCTCTCATGTTTTGGAATGGTTTTCTCAACCTTTTTTTGGGGGGCGGGGGTGGGACAGAGTTTTGCTCTTGTTGCCCAGGCTGGAGTGCAATGGCACGATCTTGGCTCACTGCAGCCTCCTGGGTTCAAGTGAGCCTCCTGCCTCAGCCTCCTGAGTAGCTGGGATTACAGGCATGTGCCACCATGCCCAGCTAATTTTGTATTTTTAGTAGAGACGGGGTTTCTCCATGTTAGACTGGTCTGGAACTCCCAACCTCA